GAGGACAGGCTGCTTTGCTAGTTTACTCCCCTCTTCCCTGAAAACGAGCACTAATGTCCATACAGAAAAGGACTGACCACATACAAAGAAGCAAAACTGAGAATGGATAAGATACAATATCTAGGGATTGTGTTTAAACTGGTGTTGCTAGATGAAATCCATGTCAAACTACAGCCCTGAACTATGATTTCACACTGCTTCTAAAGTGATGTAACAGCTAGCTACCACAAAGTTGATTATAAGGCAAAGTTTTCTGTGGGTTAGATGGCTGGACACGCCCACAGTGGGCCAGCAGTGTCCAAACACATCCAGTATTCCCACCCCCAGTGGCACCTACTCTTTACACTCACTGTTTTTGACTAGGACTGAGCCCTCAGTGCACTCTTAACACACACCGAGGTCTGGACAAAATGGCTGCAGTGCTTGGGCTGGCATGCCACCTTCTTGCATGCCAACTTGTTCACATAAGTTGTACATCACTTTTGAAAATACGAAAGCTCTACAGAAGAAGTAATCCCAAATCCTTGAATACTAGAGAAGGAACAAAAAAAAAAAAAAAAAAAAAAAAAAAAAAAGCAAAGAAATAAATTTTAATAGGTCCAAAACCTAAAAATAATGTAGCATTTTATTCAAAGAAATGACTTGGGAGTATATGAATCACTTGCTTCCTCAGTGCACCAGCTTTTACTGAAAATTTTCTGCAGCTTTGCAAAAAGGTCCAACAAAAATAAGAATTCATCTCCTGAGTGAATAGAGAACATGTGGCCTTTTGAATAGCTGTTGGCATTCAATTCCACATTGGTATCTTTAGATTGCATTAATTGATGCCATTCTAAAACACCTGAAAGAATTTAGCAAGGAGCTCAAGCTTAATAACTGTAGAACCACCTCACAATAAGAGCTGCATATGTCAAATGCCAACATCCTGACAAGCTGTCCTTTCCAGCACCCTACTAACAATTGCTCTCCATTATGTGAACAGCAGGCTCCATCTTTTTGAAAATGTTTCCTACGAGGAGATTTTAGAAATAAGCTGTGCAGAGCAGTCTTTTCCCATAAGCCTATCTGCCTTTCTGGCAGCCTGATAGGATACAAATGGTAACTGCTCACTACATCTATTTTTTATATATTTTTTGCAAATGTATTTCCAGTTCTGTTTACAGCTACAGCATTACCAAAGATTAGAGTGTTAATTTTTGAACATGAGTAACCAACGCTGTGAAACTACGGATCCAGCTGCAGGACTGGCATCTACACATGAAATACACTGGAACACTGATAAATGCACTTCAGTAGGACTCCACAACAGCTTGGGCTACAGAAGCAAAACTTCCACTGCACTCTTTGTTAACTTTAGCTTTTTAGTACTTCATTTACATATAATCTAATTTAGTACTTCCAGATTCTCACAAATTTCTGATAAAAGGTAATCATAAAATTATCATAAACTAGAGCAGATCCTTCTAATCATCTTTCAGAAGAATAAGAGCAGAGCTTACTGCCTTGCAGTCTGCATCTGCACTGCAATTAGAACATATGACTGCAGTACATTAGATGTACTTCAATTATGCTTAATTTTGTTTGCTTCAAATAACAAATCAGTTAAAATACAGAAACATGGACAGTTGCTGGCAATTAATTTTAGTAAGCTACTGATGTGCAACAAAATAAGTCCGCAGACCCCACCTGAGAGTTGTGATCTCACAGCTTTGCTACTACAAGTACTGAACTAGTGAGATTAAAGCTACAACAGACATCTTTGTTTACAAAAGCCATAATAATCACACATCTGATTCTGTATGATATGCATACAGAAAGAAAAACATTTTGCTTATTTTTCTGCTCTACAGTGCTCCATGGAAGCCTAGGTATAGAACACTAAGAGCTATCATTTCACAACTGTGTTCACTGGAAAACAGAGACAACAAAATCTCCTTGCTTTACCTCAGTGAGCCTGATGCTTCTATGGGTCCACTGTGAAGGCCTTGAAGAAAGCAATTTCAATAACTCAGGAGGCATCTAAACACCAATCAGGCACTCACTACAGGTAGGACAAGTCTGCATACAAGCAGCAAAGATTATTTCACCGAAAGAAAAACTCAGCACTGCTATTGTTAACCAGATGCCTCAGATGAGAAATTCGAGTAGACTGACAGTATTACAAAATACAATGTCAGCCTGTTTTGAATTATAAGGAATGAAAATAGAGACTTATTTACTATTCTAACAGAACTGCATTTCTAAAGCCAGGGTTAATGCATGGTATTTTGTTACATTAAGAACTCCAAAATAGAAAAAAGACACAAGAGAGAACAAAAAGATAAATTCTGTTGCAATATTAAGATGAGAAGTAAAATTGTATGGTATTTTCCTGTTAGTCATCTTATCCTTGAAAACATTCATTCACTCATCTTTACAAATACGATTCGTACTTAAGTGATAATACAGTTGACAATAACAACAATAGCTTGGCCTTCTGAAAGAGGAAATGAAGACACACTGAAAAGTGAAGGAAATTTTTATTTACCATGAAAAAAATATTTTCAGGGCACATCATGATTGATGATTGATGTGTTACTTTACTTAAAGTTCTTGATCTTAGCTGTTCTTGTCCAGTTTATAAGATTACATTACAGGTGTTCACATGATGTCAGCACTGGCTTAGATATTAAAAGTTTTACACTTGGCTTTAAAAATCTTTATTTTGAGACAGACCGATGAAGTCATAATGACAAAAGATTAAATACAACTTTTGTACTGAGATGTAGCTGAATAATAGAACTAATTGAGAGTCAGTCAAAATTTCCCCAAATTTTGTTTTTGTAATAAAAAAAAGAACAAATTTGGTTTCTTCATAACATACAAAATCTATAATGTCAAACCAACAATATGGGAAAAACAAAACATTTAGTCTCCATAGTCTCCAACGAAAACACACAAGAGAACAAAAAAAGCCCTCAACTTATCTATCAATTAGCATATTGAACCGGATGCTCTTTTTAAAAATTTCCAAGTGACTGAGGACATTTCTTCTGGAGTTAGTTCCACACTGCAACCAACTGGATACCCACTGAACAGGAGGACAAACAAATATCTGTGAAGATTCCCCGTGGTGTTCTATCAGTTAAGATTTAATTCCTTGTTTCATTATTGTAGTTACTTCATTTTGGAATTAACTGCTGGAGGGAAGCGAGAGAAAAACATGCACCTTTTGTGCAAAGTTTATGCCTTATTATTGTACACTTTCATTAAAATGTTATTTATAAAATCAGAGCAATGACAACCTGACAATGAAGGGAAGTAATGAGTTTTTAAGCTTCTCACACAAAACAGTTACATTTCCTTTAAATCATATAACTTATTTCTTTCAGAGATCTGAAGAATATGGGAATATGCTTCCAGTAAACAGAAGAAATGTATTCAGTACCAGAAAATAGAATTCATACCATCCAGACTCACGCATTAGTTGACAAAGTGGTAAGATTTATTGTGCAGCTTAACAGACCAAAATAAACAGTTTTCCAGAAGCAGAGATTCCCTGAACTACACTTCATAGCAAACAAAAATATTTAGATTGATAAGTGCAATTCAATAAGAAATAAAGAAACACAATAATTGTGTTGAGTATGATATCTCTGCATAATAAAGCATTACCAACTCTGTTACTTATCAATGTAACGTCAGGCAAGACAAAATCTATACATTTTTATAGCTATTTGGGATGGTTTGTGCTGTTGTCTTCTTCCACAAAGATGAAAATGAGAGTAGCCTGAAATGTCCTTGATGAGTTCAGGGCTATTTTGTAAGCAGAGAAGGTAATGCTAGTATTCAGTCTCCATGGTCACTAGAATATTCTCCATTATGTCCAAGTGCAAGAGTGAGGCCTGATACTTTAATCTGCTTCCAGTCCAGAACTACTAATTCACTTCTTGGAACTGCATTATGAGAAGGCAGAACTGACAGTCCAAAACCTGAAATAACTTTTAAAGCAGTCAAAGGAAAAGGTGAGCCTGTAGGCTCATTCTCTCTCAGGGTTTCTCTATTGGAAAAAAAAAAAAAACCAAATGTGTCATACCAATGCAATGAAGATTAGGCTGTAACTGTTCCATTATTAGAAGCTTGTAAACAGCAGCCATGATGAGCAGTATGAAAATAAGGGAATATGAATTATTGTTGAATACAAGAACCTAGTGCATTTTAATTGAGTTTGTTATGCTGTGTACTGATGTGCATGCTGAGCTCCCATTGAAAAACACAAGTCAAATCCTAGGTGATGTGCTGCACTATTCAAACAAGCGAGCATTTCCTCTAAGAGAAAACTCAGTAATGTGAGAGGCCTGGTCGGTGCAGGAGGTGTGCCTTGGCCCCAGACAGATGCTGCCCATGACTGGTCATAACGCTGTCTGTGGGGCTGGGCAGGGCTATACAGCATTCTAGTGTGGGGATGTACTTTGATACCAAAGAGCAACACCTGCCTAATCAGAGGTTTTTACACTGAACCCTAAAATTGTGCTGTACCTGTACAGATAGTTACAGCTAAGAAGCTATGGAAAAATAAAGACTTACAGAATTACAGCTCTGCAAATAAACACGCCATTATGTCCCTGTGTAGACTAGACTCCCCAAAAATATGGTTTAGGCTGGAGTATTCCAGTTTTATTCCATAGGTCTATTAGAGCATTTTAAAATGAGGATTCTGTTACACTTTGGGAATTTACATTCTTCCTACATCACTATGCCCGGTTTCCAAAACACTGACAGAATCTTAGGATTTTCTAAACACACTGCAATTTAGGACACATGGCCATTAAAATTCTCAGCAAGGATGAGATCTGTGCTTTTGTCCACAATTGTTCTCAGTATTCTTGCTGCTCTCTTTACATGCAGTTTCCCATTTGTCTTTTGTAGAAAAGAGATGAGGCTTATTTCTTGGTTTTTTTTTTTTTTTAAAGGAAGTTGTAAATAATGCTATTCCCAAATGTGATACAGCACACAGAAACTCCATTTCTGTGTTTGTTCCTACATAAACTAAACCCAGACACGTCTCTTGGACGTGGAACTGAGGGAATTGCTTCAGCCGCACCTCCGCGGCTGCCACACGAACACCGGCTGCTGTCGCAATTCCACCACGGGCAACGCATGGGCACCGCGCGGGGCCAAGAAAGAACATATCAAGACGGCCGGTACGAGTATTACGTCCACCAGCTGGCACGGAGGGACACCAGCCCCCCAAGCACGCAAAACTAGACTGCTGGGCTGTTTCGCAGATACGCATTTTGTCGGTTTAATTACTCTTTCTCTCCGCTCTGTTCCAAGCCAAGCCCCAGCGTGAGGCACTACTCGGCGCTGCCAAACAAAGTTACTCAGTGCACATTACGTTAATTGTTCCGAAACGCGCCCAGCACCGCCTAACCCGGCACACCCCCGCTCCAGCGCCATCCACCCGAGGACGTCGCGCCCCACTCCCCGCAGCCACCAACTTTCTCCCAGACCAGCCGAGATCGCCTGGCGGGAACACCGGCGCGGCGCTGCAGGAGGCGGCGGGAAAGGGGGGCGTCGCCCTGCTTCACAGTCCCGGCCCCGACTTGCGGCGCCCCGCAGGGCAGCCCGCCCAGCCCCGGCACGCCCCCTCACCGGTGATCTGCACGCAGGTCTCGGGCGCGGCGGTGGAGGGCGTCTGGCGCCGCTCCTCGTCCTGCTCCTCACCCCCCGCCGCCCTCGACGCTGCGCTCCGAGTTCTCTTCAGAGCCGGCGGCGGGCTGGAGCGGCGCCGGGCTTCGGCCCAGCTCTTCCGCTTCATGGCGGAGGCGGCTGCGCCGCTACCGTGGGTGCAAAACGACCCGCTTCGTCCCCGCCGCGTCCCTCCCCGCGGGCCTCGGGTTGCCAGGGGAGGGACCGGCAGCGACGGCTGACGCGTCTCCGTGGACACCGCCCACTCCCGCCGCTTCATGCACCTTCGCCCCCCCGCCTCCTCTGATTGGGTCGGGGCGGTGTGGCGTCACCGGCGCGGAGCGGTGGAGACAGTGATGTCATAGCAGCCTCGGTAACAGGTGGGCTGGCCCGGGCTTGCCGCGGGGCGCTAGGCGGGGCCACCGACAACCGCCACTTTTGGTGCGTATGAGGCGAGTCTGGTAACGTTCTGCCTGCCCGACCCCAGAGCTCCGAACAGGAGAGGTGTCCTCGGCGGAATCTCGCAGTTTGCACAGTCTGCTTAGGATTTGGAAAGTTGGAAGAGCTGCGTTTATATCTAACACACAGCAGTGTGTTCCACTACAACACGTTTCAATACACTGAAATAAGTGGAGCACTGCCAGTCCTCCACTGCAATCCGCAGCCCAGATCTTGCCTTGTACAGGGTGAGCAGCCAGCGGATGTCGCCCATGTTTTGCTGCACAACTTTTTAAAGACATTGTTTTTAAATAACAGTAAGGGCCGTAGCTGCCCGTGGCCATTCACTGTGTATGTGGGGCTGGACTCACATGGGCTCTGGCATGCAGTGGGTGCTTGATATATGCAGGGCTGATGTTTTCCTCAAAGCTGTGTTTCTGCTGAGTCTCGTATGGTGTTCTTCCTCTCCTTGGCCCTCATCTTGTGATTCTATCTGAAGGTTTTGCTGGGATAATCAAAAATCACATGGCCTACTAGCACTGAAATGCTGGGATGAGTGGCTTCATGAGCACTGGCAAACAGCAGCTCCAATTGAGCCCTTAGGTGTGCACAGCTGTGTTCAGTTCCTCTATTGAGTTAAAACACCACAACAGAGCTGTTCCACCATCTGCTTTTTAAGTTCCACTGAAAGCAAAAAAGTTCAAGAAATGACAAGACAAGCACTTCCTTTAGAATGGAAAGCACTGGGCAAATGAATGTGAAATAACTGGAAAACCAAAGTGGAACTGGAAGTAGCATCATGGCTAGTATGGCTGATTGCATGTATCAGCATGGAAGTGCTATGGTGCACGGGTATCCTGCATCCCTTCACTTCCAAGTTTCCACTCTATCCCACTGCCCCATTGTGCTTGTGGCAGTGCTGGGTCTGTGGGAAGCTGCTGTGAGCTCAGGTTGGGTGCTGCTGGCTTGGGCTCAGGGTCACATGGTACTTTCACATTAACAGCATCCTTCTCTTAAACATGTGCTACCAAAATGTGTGGGTAATTAATACGGCTAATGGATAGTACCTCCTCATGTAATTACATTACTCAACATCATTATTTTTCTTAAACCCTTTATTTTTCATCAAGGAGCAATTCAATGCAAAAATCAATTTCACTTGAGCTTAATGGTGTAGAGCTCCCAAAAGTTTGTGCTGGGCATGACAACGGCCCGAATGGACACGGTGACAAGCCTTTTAATTTTACATAGGCTTTATCCTTGTGGTACTCCTCAGGCTGAAGACTGGTCAGATTCTGCAGAAGAGCTGTGCATTAATAACAGCAACTTATAGGAATGGTCAAAGATCAGCAGCTTCAGAAGGGCTACATTCCTCAATAAATCCTGGAAAATCTAATTTTGAAAGTGGCTCATGCCTCAAAAGAGAGCAAAGTCTGCTCTATTTTAAATTCAAAAAATTATTGAAAGCAATAGACTCTGAACATAAACTCTTATAGAAAAAGTTGCTACAAAATCTAACAACCACAATCTACGATGTCCTCACTTCAGCTGTCTATGACAGAAACAACTAAGGATGCTTTTTTCAGATATATGTAAGGTATTTTCTGCTGCAAAAATTAACAGGAAAACAGGTAAGCAGCTGTGGCCTATTCCAAAACCAACTATCTGATCACAAATACATTTCAGACACAACCCTCCCTGTTTCAACAGATCCACCTTTTTGTATGACTTTTGTATGACACAAAGTAATTTCAAACAGCAGCTGATAATTTTAAAATATCTTATTCAAAAATAGAAAATAAACATCTCTGCTCTTGCCAGATGCAAAAGTACATGACAGCTTAAGTCCCATTGTTTAGAACCACGATTTTTTGAAGCTTATTTTTTTATACAACATTGACACACAATGCTGGAGGTTTTAAAGCCTCTGAAAAGTTTTGGATTTAAATGCAATTTGGTTTACTGAAAGGCAAGAAACTGAAGTTCTTCCTGAGCAAAAGCATTTTACTTCAGTGCATTCTGAACAAAGATTTAAAATGTGCTAGCAAGATTGTTATATGAGAAAGCAGTAAGACACAAAAATTTTTTGCAATAGGTCTCAGTTGTATTTTAGTTTTTATTATCTTATACACAACGGAAGCAGTATTTTAGTCAGTCTTCAGTGTCATGTAGTTTATTCTGTGCTCTGGTCTTCCAGACATAGTTTCAGATATGCAATAAAGATGAAGAGTACTGAAGCTGTTGGGAATTCACTGGAGTGTCATTCTTGTGGAGCATCAAAAAAAAAATGACACGCTGCCTCAGTGTCATATGTCAATAATCTGGGGTTTGTTTGTGAAATTTACTGTTTTAACTCCTGCCAGTTGCAAAACTGAATTAATGGGAACATGATCCAATCTGTTTCTATCACGATGCAAAAAATGAACTTCATTACCTGAAAGGAAATGAGAATAAACAGGCAATTAGTTGAATACAGTACTTATTAAAAAGCATAAGTGAATGAAAGAAGCATTGTGATTTCCTACAAGCTCTTACGTATCTTGTAGACTGCACAGTAAATCCTATTTTAAATTATGACATGGATTTTTTCTTTTTAATTAAGTTGTAGAAACAAGGGGCATTGAAGCATCTAAATAAATTAAATCTGCTGAAGAATAGCAAGTCCTAATGACATGAGATGGCTTTGTCATGTGGTAGCCACTGTACAAACACACTAAATGCCTCAAATCAAATTGAAAGCAGAATGAGTTAATATCACTCAGAAATACCTTCTGAACTTCAAGCCATCAGCAGCACTACTGATTTTTATAGGACAGAGGTCAGCTTTGTGCTGACCCTGCCAAAGGTGAGGCTGCACAATGACACCTCCATGGGTTCACTGTGCTAGCAGAACTGCAGAGACAGCACAGGATTGTTCTCCTTACATCTCCACACGGACAGCAGCAGAGATGGTAGCACTAAAGCAAACGACAAAAGGAGTAGCCTGTCACTTTTAGACAACAAGAATGAGATTACCTGGGCCTAAAATCAGAGTTCCTCCCTGTTGTGCAGGGTCTCCTTGGAAGTCAAAAGCTGGGCTAGTCATTGCTCTCCACATACTTCTAATACTGCCCAAGAGCATGCCTGATTTTACATGAGGGCTCTGCACTAAACAAAACAGCAAGGAACTTGTCACGTAGACGTACAAAAGTACATAACAACAAAATCAAATGGTTGCTATGATTACTGAAGAAACCAGTGCTTTGACAAGATGCAGCCTACCAGAGATAGTCTGATGGCCAAGCTTCCTATGCCCATTGTGATCATACTATTATTTTCTAAGCATTCTTGTTCTTTAAGTCATATCAGTGAGAAAATTATTCTTACCTGATACGTCATTACCTTCACCTCTTTTCATGCCAAGCATTTTATAAATTTCCCTTTGTGGATCTACATACATTTCATGTGTATACCCAGTTAAACTGCAAAAGGGCTGCAAAATATGTACATAAAAGAAAGTGATATTTTTAAGGTCAAGAAAGTAATTTAGTTAGAAGAAAAAAAAAAGAAAAAAAAAATGGAAATACACCTCAATTTTAAAACTGTGACTTTGTAATGCTAAATGAAAGTAAAGGCCAAAAAATTTTAGCCCTACATCTTTTACTAAAACAAAGTTTCCATTGAAATCAGGAAAAGATCTTCCCTTAACAAGTCTCAGTGGATTTTAAACTGAAAGCTTTAGTTATTTGCCTTATTCAAGCATTACTATTAGAACTGCTTCATCAGAAAGAATACTGGGCTGGTGTTCTGTGGCTGCTAACGACTGTCTTTTCACTCTGAGGAAAATCTCTCAATGCAGATCATTAAGACACTATAAAGCGTACAGTTTATTTAATGACTACCTTATTTACCTTGATGTGATGATAAGATGACTGTCCAATAACTACGAGCCTCACATTTGCTTCCTAGAACAAATCACAGGTATTGATACTGAAAAGGAAGAACTCTGTGCTTCTGCGTAGCTGCAACACATTAGCATTTTGATGTTGTAAGATAATGATCATGGTGTACTGCATTAAAATTATTCAAAATTAATGTCACTGGCATCATACTTGGAGCAAAATGCTTTTATCTGTCATCCACAATTAGTAGCTACATTAACTTATTAAGCAGTAAATTACTTTTATAAGGTAATTTAAGTTACAGGTATGTGAACAATACACTTTCGGTAGCATTAATAGCATCATCTTTCCTACTGAATGCAACCTGTTCACGATTTTGGAAACGCAAAATTTCACCACAGTTGCACCTGCATATATGGACGGAGCATGCAAATATTGGCACACAAGCAAGTTTATCTGTGATTTCCATATACTAATGGCCCTTAGTATATATAACTTCAATCAGTGTGTTGTGCTGTCTTTTGCAGTTGCACTGTTAGGCCTGAGTATAAAACACAAGCCTTGTTTGTTTAAATGTCAGGAGAAATAATGCTGCTGCTACAAGGTATGCCATGCAATAACTCCCTTCATAAGTCTCCTTGGCAGATTCATTATGGCAACTGTAGAAACCAAGCAAACATTAAGTTTACTGTGAGCCTTCCTTTGATTCCTGGAAGGTTTAAGTCTGCAGCAGGAGATAATGGAGCTGACTGTAAAGCACATACAGGGGTGTGGCACCTACTTGTAAGTAACTCCTGGGGACTTTTGCCAGGTCTTCTACATACTCCTTACAGGTATAACACAAGAAATTCTGCAACAGATGAACATGTAAGAAACAGACATTACTGCACAGCAGTGAAGAAACATTTTGACTTCAGGCATGAACTAGTTTGGAGGTGACTGGGAAATGGGCATGGGAAAGAATGAAGTTCACTGCAGTCACAAAATTTGGGTTAGGAACCTGATTTAATTACTCCGAGCCTGAGTACATACTCCGGGTCGGGGGCCATGCTAGCAATCTACAAGAGCTGGCTTGTCAGCTGGGACATGGGGCAGCAGTACACTTGAACTAAACACATAGCTGAAGACTTGTTTTATCTGCTATGTATTTGTCTTTGCTCACCCAGACGAAGACAGGGCCCCCCCCCCCCCACAGCTCAGAACTCTCCAAGTACGAGCGTAACTCTGCTCAGCCCGTGGCAGCCCGCCCAACCCCTTGCCGCCCTCCTCACCCGCACGAACACCACGACGACCTTCTGCCGCCTGTACAAGGTCCCGAAGGGGATCCTCCTCCCGTCAGCATCCACTACCAAGCAGTGGGCGGCTTCCCGCATCTCCGCGGGCTCAAAGCGCGGCGCAGCGGACACGGGACGGACCTGCTGCACGACCGGGCACAGAGGCGCTCCGGACATGGCTGCGGCTCCGCCGTTCCGCCCGACCTTCCCGAGAGGGTAAGGCGGAGCCGGTCGGTGAAGCGCGAGGCCTGCGAGGAGGCGCCGAGGCAGGGTGGGAGGGCAACGTCCTGTGCCGGCAGCTGGAGTCAGTCCACTGCCAGTGGCTGGCGCTGTAGGGGGAATAGGCCTGTGAAGGCCTTTGAAAAAGCAGGGAGGGAGATGCGCTGCCAAAAGCGCTGCCTATCAGACGGAGCCGGAATGCAGTTAACTTGCAGAGGAGCCAAACGGAAGATCCCAGAAATGATGTGTGAGCAGAAGTAGCGGTACCGTGACCCAGCCCCCGGTCAGGACTGCCTTTGCAATGTGCCGCGATCGAGCCAGAAAGTGATGTTTTCTAGGAAGTGCTGAGTTGCTGCATCAGAAAAAGCATAACCCATCCCTCACAGGAGTAAAAGAACTGCACAGGACTTGGGCAGGTGACAAGCAGTGGATACCTAGCAGTGCAGAAGTGTGTGATTGCAGGGAGTGCGCACAGCAGTAGAGGAGCTCAATAGCTCCCCTGAAGTAGGAGCACCAGACACGAGCAGAATTTTAGTCTGCTGTTAGCTGACAGTTTACGAGAGCAGCACCTTCCTTCTCACAGGGGGCTGTGAAAAAGAGGTACCAGAAGGAATGCCCCTGGGAACAGGACTAGAGTTATTCTCCTTCATGAAGTTAATTCTAGATACTCACTTGGCAAACTTAGTTTCTGCAGTGTTAATGTCACATCACCACCTGAAATTTGGGTTAAACCCATTGGTTTCATACTACTGTGAAAGACTGAATAGAACATTCCTCACCCACTACTTAGACTTTTTGACTAGATACAGAGTATGTGCGCTCAATCTTGTTTTCTCATTTGAGCAATCCTTTTTTTTTTTTTTTTTTTTTAACCTTTCCCCCCTCAACATAGTTTACACCCCAGCTGAGATATTCCCTAACTAATTTCCTAAAACTTGTTAAATAGTTTTCAGGGCACATCAAGTGCTGTATGCCAGGTTAACAGTACAGTCAGTCAGCTCGACAGGCAAGTCAGCTCTACATAGTAAACAACAACACCAGGGAAGGGGATCCCTGGCTGATAAAGTGCTTATGGGGAATCAGATTTCCAGGGCATACCTGGAGGTGGAACTGGTGTATCCCTCTTGTTTCAGCAATAGCACTTTATTTCATTATGTGAATCTGTCTTTTGGCTTTGTCAGATTAAATGTGGTCCTCTTCATAACAGTTTGCTGAGAGAGCAAATCAGTGTTCAAATGTTAGTAAAGAATTTATATATTTGCTTATAGCTGTTTGCTTGAAAGACTAATCTTGTAGTCCAGTATGTTCCCACACTGACCTCAACTTTGTACAGAATTTCTGAAAATTGCGAGACTTGCTCTCTGTTAGATAAGAGTCTGGGCAGTATTAATTCCGTGTTGCAATTGTCAGACTTCTTTGTACAGGTAACAGTTGTACATAGTTTCTGTGGTCAGCTGGATCCCTTCAACCAGCAGCCTAGGAGCAAAATTTGTTTTGTGCAACAGAGAAGGAATGGCCTGCCTACCCTGAACTACCACAAGATGTAGAAAAGCAGGGAGAAGTGGTGACCTTTGATAGGCTTTACTCTTTATAAGGTTGAAGTTGGCAGACTGGTCATATAACCTATCCATTCTATTGGCTGCAGTAAAGCCTCTGGGTAGCACAGGCCTCAGTATGCAGAGCACAAGGGCATAGCAGAACTGGGAGAAGACTGTCATCTCTGCAGCTGGAAATCAGAGCCTACAGCTGAACTGTTGTGTTTCTGCAGTGGATATGCAGCCAGGTGCTCTTTGGGATGCAGGTATGGTTGGGTCTACTGATGAGGTGTTGGACAGAGGGTTGTCATAAATTTGCAGGACTCTGTCCCAGCTCAGTATAGCTTCTTGTGCCTAGACTACAGAGAAGTCAGTCTGTCTTGGTTGGAAGTTTCTGAGGAGCCCACCACATCTGTTAGAGCTGATACACATTCCTGCCTAAAAGTCTGCCTGCAAACTTAGCTCTTTTATGCTGTTCAGAATGCCTTAGCTGGTGTCAACAGTGTATCCTGATAAGTAGCATCTTTTCCCAAGGATATCTTCCAAAACATTCTCTGAAGCTCCTCGAAAAGTATGGTCCCCATTTTTGGTAGTGTTCCATGGAATTGTAAGTAGCGCACAAATGCTACTTATAGTGGAGCACTACCATGTTCCCTGAAATAGAAGGCACTCAAAATTAGCAGTCGCTTTTGAAAGTGGAAATATAAAGTCATTCATTTAGGTACACTTAACAGAAATTTGTTTACAAATTCCACATATTTAGATGGAAAGAAAGACTCCACATCTGCTGACTTCAGATATTCTGGTTAATACAAACTTTCTACAGGCATCAAAACCATAAGGTCCATTCGTATGAGTTATCTTTGGGGAGATCATCCTTTGTTGGTTGTTTTTTGTTTGTTTGTTTTGTTTTTTTCTTTTTCCCCTGCTCTTTTCTTTACATTTCTTAAATAATGAGATGTTGATAACATGGACAATGTAGTCATCAGAGCATTGCCTTTGTTTAAGTGACTTAAGGAGAATTAATTATATATTGTCATATTAATCACGATGTAGCATTCAGGATGCAAGTTATTTTCTACACAGAGGTGCAGTTTACAGTTGCAAAGGGAAACTTAGCCAAATATTTAAACAACTAAGAGCTAGTTTACTTTTTGTTGTGGATAGGAAATTTGGATTCCTACCATTTCAAGGAGAAGAAAACAAACACAGATGTGACATAATTTATTTCCTCTGTATTGGCCAGTGAAACAAAATGCCAGTCATAATTATGCAACCTGAAGCCTTTTATTTAGAAGAAATGAATAAAATACCTGACAGGAGTGATGTGGCTTATATAAATAGTGTGCCACAACAGTTTAGAGTATGTAGTATGTACTTGTGAAGCACCATATTATGATCTATTTACTGCAAGATGTACTTTTTTTTTTTTCCTTATTTATGTAAGTATTATTTAGCTAGAGGCATTGTGGTTATTAGTTGTCAACTGAAATAAATGTTTATAATTCTAGAGTAAAAAGTATTTTGTTAAGTGTTAACTAAGAATGAGTTGTTTTTAAATTGTTGTAATTAAAAAGCAGTAAAATGTATACTGTCCTTTAGATAAGAGGCTTTTACCCTTATGGCTGTTTTTCCCTGTTCTGATAGTGTAATTTTGACTAGGTTATACTAGACTTCATGTCATAGAGTTGTGGAAATATTTATTTTAATCAGACAGGAAAATCACTTGCGGTTTTGAAGTCGTATTTCAAATACTAGCTTTATCATCTAATCTTTTTTTATTTTTTTTTTCTACTTGGAGTAT